GGGTCGCCGTCGGGGTGGACCTTCAGGTGACGGGTGAACTGGGGCTTGTAGCGGAAACGTTTGCCGCAGCGCCCGCAACCGTAAGGTTTCTCGCCGGTGTGGATGCGTTGGTGCTTGACCAAGTTGGAGCTGACGCAGAAACTCTTGCCGCAAGCGCCGCACCGGAACGGTCTTTCGCCCGTGTGGGTCCTCTGGTGCTCGATGAGGGTGGAGCTCTGCCCAAAAGCCTTCCCGCATTCCCCGCAACGGTACGGTCGCTCGCCGGTGTGGGTCCGTTGGTGGGACGCTAAGTGGGTCTTCTTCTTGAACCGTTTCTCGCATTGCCCGCAGGAGAAAGGTTTTTCACCGGTGTGGGTCCTCTCGTGCTTGACCAAGTTGGAACTGAGGCCGAAGGTCTTGCCGCAACGCCTGCAACCGTAGGGTTTCTCCCCGGTGTGGGTCCGGAGATGTTTGACCAAGTTGGAGTTCCGTCCGAAGGTCTTGCCGCATTCGGGACAGGCGTAAGGCGTTTCGCCGGTGTGGGTTCGGCGATGCTCGGTCAAGGTGGAGCTGCGGCTGAAGGCGCGGGAGCAAACCGGGCAGGCGTAGGGTTTTTCGCCGGTGTGGGTCCGGAGGTGTTCGGCCAAGGTGGAGCTGCGGCTGAAGCTCTTCTCGCATTGGCCGCAGGTGAAGGGACGTTCGCCCGTGTGGGTCCGTTGGTGCTCGATCAGGTTGGAGCTCTGCCCGAAGGTCTTGCCGCACTCGGTGCAGCGGTAGGGTTTCGGCGGCGTCCTGCCGCCTTCCAGGAGACCCAGCAGATTGATGAAACCACGCGGGCGACCACCGCTGCGGGCTGGTGTCACGGTGCCTGGGAGAGGAACATCCATTGGGTTGTTGTTCTGCCACGGAAGGATGTTCTCCAAAGAAGAACATCTCCTGGTGGGTCGTTGGGATGTTCTCCAAGGAACAACATCTCCCGGTGGGTCGTTGTTCTACCACGGAGGGATGTTCTCCAAAGAAGAACATCTCCCAGTGGGTCATTGCTCTACCACGGAGGGATGTTCTCCAAAGAAGAACATCTCCCGGTGGGTCGTTGTTCTACCACGGAGGGATGTTCTCCAAAGAAGAACATCTCCTGGTGGGTCGTTGGGATGTTCTCCAAAGAAGAACATCTCCTGGTGGGTCGTTGGGATGTTCTCCAAAGAAGAACATCTCCTGGTGGTTGTTCTGCCACGGAAGGATGTTCTCCAAAGAAGAACATCTCCCACTGGGTTGTTTTTCTACCACGGAGGCATGTTCTTGAAAGAAGAACATCTCCCAGTGGGTCATTGGGATGTTCTCCAAAGAAGAACATCTCCTGGTGGTTGATTCTACCACGGAGGCATGTTCTTGAAAGAAGAACATCTCCTGGTGGTTGATTCTACCACGGAGGCATGTTCTTGAAAGAAGAACA